CTGATAGAATAGAAGTAAGGTAGCTAGTCAACAACACCTACTGATAGAGTGGAAGTAAGGTAGCTAGTCAACAATACTTATTGATAGAATGGAAGTAAAGTAGCTAGTCAACAATACTTATTGATAGAATGAAAGTAAGGTAGCTAGTCAACAACACTTACTGATAGAATAGAAGTAATGTAGCTTGTCAACAGCGCCTACCGCCAACTCTTTCTCGGGATAAACATATTTGGACTACTTATGACATTTTATTGTTTTTGTAACAGTGCAGCACCCCTGCCCAAGTGAGGAGCACATTCTTCACGGTAACGAAACGCAAACCATGAACCCTTGAATTCGCCGTCCGTGCACGCTAATTTTAAAACCACGCCCTGCACTATATTCTTAATAGATGTCGCTAAGAGTAATTTCATCTGTATCTAAGTGATTCTAGGCAAGTGCATAAAGTAATCATTCAAAGACACACACGTACTTTTATTTTTACCTTGATGTCTCATTCTGCCATAAATACAGAATTTCTAATTCTGGATATATTTTACAGAGCATGACGTTGTTAATTTTCACCACGTGATTAAAGTTTCTAAGCATCATTTTTACATAAAACATAAAATGTAAGCTATATTTTTATGGCAATTTGATAACCTCGTTATATTAAGTAGTTCACGCTCACTCAAAACGTGCGAGAAAAGTCCGTACAATGATTCCGTCAGTATATTAATATACTGGCTGTAGTACCCGTCCCCTGGACAGAAGTTATGTAAATTCATGATTAATGAAAGGTTATCTTAGGACACGAAAAGTTGCTTCCCTAATATGTAAATATACTATTTCATTTATATAGATTCTTTTCATGTATAGCGTTGTTTTATACTGCCTTATTGATATTGTAGCGCCATCTCTTGAAACAATACGGTTTAATAATTTAAATCTAGTGTGTTCTTGTTGAATGATACAATGAATTAAACTTTCATTGGACAAAAGAGAAGAAAAAAGAACGAGTCTTAGAAATTGAAAGATTGGCTGTTAATTGTTAAAACGAGTTCATGTATTGATCTCTATTTCATAATCGAAAAGATAGATCTGTACAAACTGACTCTAGCTGTAGAACTAAATTATTAGGTCTGAGGTGATATTTAAAGACCTACTGCTAGATAAAGAAGTGAGTCAGCGACAAAGGTTTATCGTATTTATCCATCGTTTTGTTTCTTTGAACTTTGCTGTTATACGTTTGGGCTACAAAGCTAAGAGTTAGTCGACTTTCTAATAATAGTATTGAATATTATGATAATTTAATTTCATGCACTGAATGACAAATAATACCTTCAGGTTGAAAATAAACAACAGTTTGGGAATTATGACGTAATTATACAGTTTTAAATTAGTATGAAGTACGAAACTTTTAGTAAGTCAATAGACGGTGGGCAGATAACGAGGAGTTGCTAATGTAACTCCTTTTTGTGTGTGTGTGAAAAAATAGTTGGGTAATGCTAATGTTACTCCTTTTTTTGTGAGTGTCAAAAAATAGTTGGGTAATGCTAATGTTACTCCTCTTTTGGGTCTGTCAAAAAATAGTTGGGTAATGCTAATGTTACTCCTCTTTTGGGTCTGTCAAAAAATAGTTGTGTAATGCTAATGTTACTCCTTTTTTTGTGTGTGTGTGTGTGTGAAAAAAAAGTTGGGTAATAAGAACTGACCTGGAAATTTTAAGCTACTTAGTCTGTAATGGAAAAATTCTAGATTGGCTGATAAAAAATAAATTAGTGAAATATGGCATTGTAAAAGAGAACCAACATTAATTCACTGATGACTTTTTGAGCATGTTACATATTGTCTGGATGATGGAAAGTAAGTAGAGTTGGTGTGCTTGAATTTTCACAAGACACTTTCTGTTAAAGTGTCACATAAAAGGTCAGCTAATAAAAAAATTCAATCACTAGAAGTTGAGGAAGAACTAGTTTATTGGATTGTTAGACGTTTGGATGGAAGAAAGCAAAAAGTTCTTATTTCCAGACCAGTCAATCCGTGGGTCTTTGCTACTTCTTGTTTACGTTGATAACATTGTTTATTTGTTTTGAATTTCGCGCAAAGCTACACGAGGGCTATCTGCGCTAGCCGTCCCTAATTTAACAGTATAAGACTAGAGGGAGGGCAGCTAGTCATCACCACCCACCGCCAACTCTTTTACCAACGAATAGTGGGATTGACCGTCACATTATAACGCCCCCACGGCTGAAAGGGCGAGCATGTTTGGTGTGATGGGGATTCGAACCGGCGACCCGCAGTTTGCGAGTCGAGCTCCCCCTAACCACCTGGCTATGCCGGGCCATTTTACCTTTCATTGAGTAGTTAGTAAACTGATAACATTAAACTCGTTGCTGTGTGTATTGACGTATTACAGAATGACTTGAATAAAATGGTAAGTTCGACAAATGTTTGACAAGTAACATTTAATTATAGCAAGTGCAAAATAATGCACTTGAATTGTCATAACTTGGATCACACGTTTAATGTAGATATGAACATGTTCAATAATGTGACTGAAGATAAGTAATGTAGGCAATGCTCATTTGCTGGTAGCAAAGTTTATATAATTTGGGGGAATTGGGGTGTGCAGAGATTGGATAAGGTATATTAAAACGATTTTCGAGCCTCACCATGTCTTCACAGTCCATTTTGATACATTCGATCATGCTCTATCTTATGGCTGAGAATGCATCTTGACAATAGCCCTGCAGCGTAGTTTATATTGCAAAAGAATTCGTCGTAAAGTTTTCCATAATCCACCTAGTGTACGAGACTAATAGTTACCTAGAGTCCGTTTCAACCGTTCGATCAAAAATAAACCCACGGGCGATGCATCCAGCGACTCGACCAGTGTTGGGAATAGAATGAATACCTCGTTTCATTCTTCGTCTGCTTATGGTATTCGATGATTGAACCGATCTGTTGTGGAAGCAACTTGTGTCACTTTTTGAGAAAGGCGATCCTTCTTGATTATGTTGCCTACTGTTGCTTGGTTCAGTTGGTAATTAATGTTATAACACCTAAGTAATCTGGGATAATTAGTTAGGTACAACTAAACATAACACACAAAGAACAATTTGGTCCATTAATTAAGACTATTTTTGCATATCTACCCTTGAGAAAAGTTAACATTTAAAACTCCTCCTTTATATTTCAGGAATTCATCAATTCTCTTGTAAAGTGCTGGACTACACTATTGCCGACGACAACTCATTCCATAAGCCAATCACGCTGTTAGAAAAAAAAAGTGTCTTAACTGGAACCTAACCATTCTTTTCAAAATCTTAAACTTGTGTCCTCTTGTCATATTATCAGTAACGTGCAGAGGACAATAAAAGAGCAGGGCACTTTTCAAGCATCCTCAAGCAATACTTTTTTTTCGGAGGGGGAGGGGTGTTATGAGGAGCCTGTGGATTGCCTCCGATACACATATGGTAGAAAGTTTTGAGATACAAATCTTCTTTTACTTCTATTCAATTAGTGTTATAAATACTTTTAAAATCTAAAAATAAATAGTGAATTATTGCATTTAACACTTAATAACATATCATAGTTATTATTTTATTACTGTAAAAACTACAGGTCCCTTTACTTCATTCATTTTAAAACTTAAATCTTTATTTCCCTTTAATAACTCACAAAAGCAAGGTGTTGAATCAGGCGTGTCTTTTAGTTGATATGGACAGTTTTCATGATAAAATGTTATATAAAATTATATCATATCCAAATTTAATTAATTTAATAGATAGACAATTACCTCTTTTGACTTACAGTCAATATGTTCATAAATTCTACCTAAAATTATGTTAGCTTTACTATTAGAACAAAAGAGTACTGTTGCTATGGCTTAAATAACTGGCCGACTTATTCATTTTTATGCCAAGATTATTTTCTTCGGTCACTCTTTTGAGTGGACTCCAAATTATGACACCGTAAACGCATTACCTTGAAGTTATTATAATTATATGTCATTTGCTAAATATTTGTCTAACTATCCGATTGGTTCAAGTCATTTTCGAATTATTT